TCTTTTTAATTATACATTTTAAGTTAATTCAGTTAAACTCATTCTCAGTTGCAATTCAATCACGAACAATGGGTCCACACACTTTTTGTGCAGTTCACGTTATCACGTGTCTCCCACCATCCCCAAAGAGATCCGTATGCACTATCATTCAAAGTGATGGTGACACTGACCTCATCATGTCATAATGAATGGCTGCGCTGGAAACTCTCTGCTGTGGTCTCTGCTGTCTGTGGTGAGCAGATTCAGAATCAAGCCCTGTGAGACGTGTGCCATGAGAGGGGCAGGTTAGAATGTTATTACACTATTCACTGAATCTCATCATCAAATCATTTGTCACCAAAGCACATATTGCCAGTGGATTACAGCAGCGGCTGCAGGTCACATGTATGTGTGGTTAGTCAACCCTGCCAAGCAAGAAATGAGCTTCTGCAGCTCAGTATTGCTTTAAGATTGAGGATGGGAATAGGACAGATAAAATATGCCATATAACCTCTAACCTCTCCACACCAAGCACAGCGCTTATATAGGAAATTACGAAAATGTTTAAATTAGAGAGAAAATAGAATTTAGTTGCATGATATATCCAGCTTTGAAGGTTGGAGGTGGACAGATGTTGACCGCATAGCCGATGTCATGTGTCTCGCAGTGGCTACAACACTTACATTTGCTAAAATCAATAACTGGACAAAGATTAAAGGGATAGATCATCCAAAAATGGAAATTCTGTCATGATTTACTCTGATGCTGCTCCAACCTGTTTGCTGATTTTTGGCCACGTTCACACAGCAGCAGTCAAATGTGATAAGACTTTTTTTATGGATGTCGCCATCTTTGATATTACTTTAGTCACTGTCTCTATGGTTACATCAGGTGATGACTTTGGTTACTCGTTCATTCAAGCCACTTTTGTAAGCTGCTGTGTGAACAGGACATTTGGATACTCACACCTGTAGTTAATTCAAGTTGTCAGTTCCAAAAACTGACAGTGTGAATGTAGCCAAAAGGGACATTCAAACTGCTGTGTCCACATTCGATTACAACACATACAAGAACCAATGATATTCGTTGTGCATTGCCGTGGACTAAATTTCAGTCTGTTCCTCACACAACGTTAACATACAAATCTGCAGGTTGATTGGATGATTTAAAAAAACGAATTATATATATATATATATATATATATATATATATATATATACACAGTATATATATAAAAATATACACATGTATGTATGTATGTATGTGTGTCTGACAAAAAGAACCAAAATTGGTCATTAATTGACCATTTCATTAACTAAATATTTATCAGCATATATGTAAATGTTTGGTACAATTTAATTGAATTATTTTTTTATGTAAATATATTATTACGACAAAATATAAAAATTGTAACAACGAAAACTAATAACATTGTACACTTGCCCATAGACTTCCACTGTAAGCGCATTTTAATCAACATATTTTATACATTTTCATTTATTCATTTAGCAGACACTTTTAGCCAAAGCAACTTACAAATGAGAAATACAACAAGAGATACATTACAAAGAGGCAAATAAACACGAGAAGTTTAAAAGTGAGTTTTTTCGTTTTTTTCAGTAGGATGCAGTTAAGTACTCTCGGAAGAAAAGAGTTTTCAGCTGTCTCTTGAATATTGTCAGGGATTCGGAGTTCCGGATGGGGTTGGGAAGATTGTGGAAAGTGATTTTTTGTCTCCCTGTGATGATACCCACAAGGCGTACCGATCTCGGGCTTCTGGAGGGGATGTAGATTCGTAAGAGTGAGTGGAAGTATTTTTTGATTCAATTTTCAAGCTGATAGATGAGTTAAAGTCACCGTGAAATCCAAAATCATCTGTAATGATCCAATCAATTTGGGACGGATAAAATCAAGTCCCATCCTACATTTTTCTTGTTCGAGAAGCAGTTTCACTTCAATATATGTCATGATATGGAAAAAGAAAGATTGAACTTCCCTTTCATGCTGAATTATTTACTGTGGTAACTGACAATGTTGTCAATAGAGCTTAACTTACATTTAACCTGTAATATTTATTTAAAGCAGGTCTTTGGTGTTGGAGTATGTCCTTTTTTAAAGCAAACTGACTCTCTTAGCTTTATGTACTCGTTGACCCTGAATCTAAATTTAGCCACTTTTAAGAGCATGTTATTCATCATTTGTGAATCAAAGCCACATGTGAAAACAAATGACCAAAATACCATCAAGTCCACTTTGCAACACTGTGCAATTTGAGAAGTTGATGTGGACTTTGAAGTATCACACAGCAGTGTGCCATTCCTTACACACACACACACACACACACACACACACACACACACATGGGCTCAAGCCTTTATCTGATCCAGACTGCAATTGGCCCTGAGCTTTGCGAGCCTCTGCAGCGAAGCCCTTGTTGATTTGACCCGCTTTAATTAAACTCCATACAGTAGTGCTATCTACATGTGTGTCTTTCATTGAAGATTGCCTTCGAAATGAAATTTTATTGAATAGCTTGTTGAGTCTCATTGAATGCCCTGTCATCTAAGTGTAAACATCCACTGATAGCAGTTATTTCCCTCAGCCGGAGAAGGCACGTTTGACTGCATCTTTGTGCGGATACAGGCAAAGATAGAAAAGGACATTGTGATGTCATTAGCAGAGCAGCTTTGAGATGTCAGGCCTCCGCTGATAAACACAGGCCAATGTAGAGCGCAGCTGGATCCGAGGCCATTAAACTGAAGGAAAAGCACTGTTCTTAGTGGGGTAGCAGGGATGAGAGGGGCTTCTGGGTCTTTTTGTGTGGAGAAGCTGAAGAAGGATAATAGATAGACGAATTAAGATGTTCTGCGGCCCTGGGCAAAAATAGCCATTAAGCCATTAATACCCATTATGCAGTATTTCGGTAGTACTGGGGGTTTCCATGTGATATTTACAATGATTAAACTAATCTTGGATGCTGATTGGTCAAAACAGTCATGAAAATACTCAATATAGAAACACCTATTCACCACATCAATGCACAGCACCTGTTATTGTTATAAAATATTTTATAATATTTATATTTTCAAATACACTGCCATTCAAATGTTTGGGATTGATAAGATTTTGTGACATTTTTGAAGAAAGCCTCTTTCACTGCATTTATTTGAGCAAAAATACAGTAAAACGGTAATATTGTGGAATATTATTACAATGTAAAATATCTGTTTTCTATATTAATATATTTTAGCATGTAATTTATTAATGTGATCATAAATCATTCTAATATGCTGATTTGGTGCTCAAAAACATTTTTATCAGTGTTGAAAACACCTTAATAGTTTTATGGAAACCGTCATACATTTTTTTGCAGGATTCTTTGATGAAGAATCACATAGTTTAATGAACAAAGTTTATTTTCGAAATAAAAATCTTTTGAAACATTATGAACGCCTTTACTGTCACTTGTATATATATATATATATATATATATATATATATATAGTATTTAAATAGTCAACTTAAATAGTCTTGAACTTTTAACATTTTAAAAGGCATTGCTTTTACTGTGACCATAGTTCAATCAAATTGAAGATTCATGTACTCTGCCAGCATAACAATGGATCCTGATTCAACAGATATTTGACAGCAAATGATTTTTTGACAGCAAATGATTTTAACACAGCTGTTCAGCCATGGGCAGTGAGCACTGATACTGACTGAGAAAATGGATCGCCCAGAAACTCTCTTAATGGCTTTCCTCAGTGACCATACACCCCCCACATTCAGGGACTGTCAGTCATCATTCAATGAATTTTGATTTCAGACATACATGGGCCGATGGCTTTGTATATATTTGATATTTCTATGGCAAAATTGGAAACAGTATTGTGGGCCTTTTTTTTTCTCCGTTAATGCTCAGTTCAGCAGAAACACATCTCTCTACTGCCACCCTGAGCATTATTGTTGCTACTACAAGTATTAGTGACTGATCAGAATTTTTTTAAGGGGGTATGGACCCTTTTCACGTTTCTGGGGTTCTAAGAAGCTTTAGTCATAGGTGGGTAAACTATAGTGGTGAACAGAAACAACAATAAATATAATTTTGTGTTCCCAGCTGATCCAAAAGCGAAGGGAAAAAGCAATAATGTTTCTATGACTTTACAAAAAAGGAAATTAAATGAGATTACGGTCATCAGAAGATAGAAAGATGTCAAAATTACTGTCACTCTCTCAGCCATTGTATTAAAAAAAGAATATATAAGAAACTTAACTATATTTAAAATGTTATAAACTGTGGAAAAATGGCATCAGTATCTGTGAAAAGGGTCTATTATAGCCAAAAATAATGAATTTGGTTGGATTTAATTATTTTGTTTACAACCAAACATAGGCAGCAGAATTTATAAACATTTAAATGTAGGTAATCATAAAATATCTCAGTATCATTAAAAGGTATAACTTATAATTTTAGAAATTGTTTCTTTAATAATTCTGGTAAAATGTTTTTATTTTTTATTTTATTCAGCATTTTATGGGCCTTTTAATTTTTGAACAACAATTGATTGATGCATGTTTAATTTATTAATTCATTTATTTAATGTTTTATTTTAATAATTACTTGTTTAAAATAAACAAGACAAAATTGTCTGACAATAATCAACCACTTAGTTGTTAATCATATTAAAACCACTTAGTTGATCATATGGGGTCTACAGTATATAATTTTGATGTAATTAATAAATTTTTCATATTTAATATGCCCTAATTATCCCATATGTTCAACATTTAAATGTGTTAAGATTCCATAAAAATGTATATATTGTATGTGTACTTCAAAATGACAGTTTTGACTGAAACTTTTAAAATCAAAGTACAATTCAAAACTAACACTTAGCCATGTTTTGTAATTGTCCTGTGGTGTTATTTACACCTAAATGTCATTGTACTTCTCTTCCACTGTGTACTTCTCTCAAATGCACCAATAATTAATTTGCTTCCTCTCTGTTTCTCTGCTCTAGTGGTCATTATGGCATCTGGTTTACTGGTTTACCCCTTCGGTCTCAACTCCAGCCTGGTCAAATCTTTCTGCGGAGACTCTGACATCTACTACGCCGGGGAGTGTCAGATAGGATGGGGCTACATGCTGGCTATCGTAGGTGTCATGCTCACCCTCTTCCTGCCCTTTTTCGCTAAGTACGCCCCCAAGGAGCAGCTGTCACCCACCCCATTGCCCACTCTTTTATAGAGCACCACCAACAATATTCAACCTGCTCAGCCATCATAACTATAAAGTGATCCATTTGAGGTCGGACAGACTGTAAAGTCTCAGCATCATTTGCCATGGTTGGCAATGATGTCTTGAAGATAATGTTGCTCTGGAGCAGAACTCAAAACCCTTCATCCCCTCTATTCTCATTGGGTTTTTTTTTTTTTTTGTGCTAGTGTCTTCCTTAATTCGATAAGGTCTTTTTTCCGTCACAGTCAACCTGCCAGGTGAAAAATTCATTTGAAAAGGATTATATGGATTTTGGTCTTTCTTTCCCTTCTTTCTAATTTATTTTCAAGCTTTGTTCTTGATTGAAGACCTCTAAGGACTAACTACTGAAAATAACGGATAATGGACCATGGTGCAAATTAGTATTTTTGAAATTTTGTTTGCAAGGATCAAAACCAAAAATAGCAAATTAAATGAAAATTTAGTTTTCAACAATTTCCAATATTTTACTTATCAGGCTTATCAGCATGCAATGAAAGGATAACAAAAATAAATGGTAGGCTCTTTTTAAATGGACTTCCTTTAATGGATCCAACAGGTTTAAAGGAACAGTTTCATCAAGAGAAACTGAACTCAAACTCAATAAATCTGACAGTCGGAAAGTTTTATCACCTGATATAATACCTATTCAAGGACCAACACTGTGGCTTAAGTAAACTGAGACCTTTTAATCCTCCGTACAAATTTTTAATTCACAGGCATTTCTTCATTTTGTTTCTCATAACCTCGTGAGGGCCATCAAGGAACTGTATTTACAGTGCGGATCAGGCCATTGCTTCAAACTGCCAGGGATGGACCACAAGCATGGACTTTTCTCAACTGTATGTGAAAGTGAAATGATCCCACAAGTAAATTATTTGTTTTCCCAAACTGAGTGAACAGCATATGTTGTGAAGTCTCTTTTCACGTTCTTTACCTTAACACCTACTAGTACTGAATTATTCAGGATTCCTCAAATCAGGCTGTTCTTAGTTAAAGTTGGGCTTAGTTAACAGTGAGACACTATGTTCTGGAAAATACCAACTTCTAACCAACTTGTGCCTTTTGACCATTACGAAGACTTAAGTACCTTTTATCAGGTAATCTACTTCTAAAACATTTTGTAAATGCTTTCTTGTTGGATTAACATTGTATGATTATTTCTCTATGTCTCCATCTTTAATGATGATTAGTTTTAAAATGTTGGCGCTTCTTGAAAGCTGATGGCCTGTTTTGTTTTGAAGGGGTTGCAAAAATGAACAAAATGATGAAAGCTAAATTAGCAAGTCATTGAACAAGACAGGACAACCAATTCAGTCCTGATTTGTCATGACAGATTTATGTATTTCTTTGGGAAATTTGCTGTAGCGATTAAGCTAATGTGCTAATGCATTTACTCTTGGTACAGCAATACGGTGAAGCTAAAGCTTCTACTTGGATCATTCCATATTGCACTTGGCTCACTTTTGCTGTTGTGTTGATTCATTTGTGTATTATGTGTTCAGACTGGCTAAAAACATTGGCACTCAACTGCTCTCTTTGTAGATTTAACACCAAATTCTATGATGATATAGTTGTGCTTATAGCGAAACAACCCGCCCCCCAACTATGTACTTAACTGTTAGGGGTAACTGAAGCTCAGAGGACAGAGCACAACTTTAAACTGGCATGAGATGTCAAACATAACAGGCCCTTTAAACGTGTTTATGCAGGAGTACACTGGCGTCCTCCGATTGCCTTGACAGTAATGGCAACTTGAATTCTTGAGTTCTGTTTATGAATCATGTATGTGAAGTCTGACCACTGGTAGATCTTAGATCTTGTAGATTAGTGCTGTGGGTTTCCCGCTGTGATGTTTTGGTTGTAAATAATTCTGTAACAGGGCATCCTGATGTTTGGTTCCCTTTTGAAAGATATATTTTGCGATGTTACCTCATCATTGTGTTTAACCTTTGAAATCCCTAACAAATTGCTGTTATGTGTTTCTTCTTTGTAATAAAGCATTTCATAAGCTTAGCAAATGGATGGCTTTTGAATGAAGACACCAACAAATCTTTAAAAAAATATTTCCCGTTTTTTTTTTTTATGCACCAATTAACAATATAATAACGTCGAATTTAGAACTCAAATATGATGCATACAAATTTAAATTAATAAATATATTGTCACAAATTTAAATGATGTATGCATAGTTGCATAGGAAATAAAATTATATGCGTCTAAATTATAACTCAAGATTATATATGCATATAAATTAGAACTAGAACATTTTAAATGCATATAAATTATAATTTGATATTATATATGTATGTAAAATAGAACTAAAATATTTTAAATGCATATTAATTAAAATAAATCTAAATTACAACTGCATCTATACTGCAAAGTGAATCAAAATCTACAGATACAGATCACAAATTTAAAACTGTTTTACATTCACTGACCATTATGGGTCATTCCTTAACTACTTCACAACTAAACCAAAACCAACCCTAACTTCAGTATAAGTCTGTGCTAGTTTAATCTTTCTCCTGTTACTCACTCGATCCACATCACATTTCACTGAAAGCCAGCACCACATCCCTCATCTCTGCATCTGACGCTCTCACAGCCTCCAGGGCATTCTTTTGCTCTGACAGTGAAGCAGCTCGGACTGACACACAAGTCATTATATCCTTTTCTCTGTCGTAGTTTCCAACGCAGCGATGCACCTGACCTCTGATCAGTCTGGGCAGTGTCTGATCCTGAAGAACAAATACACAAAGACTTAAACATCAAGGTTTATGTTGTCTAAACCATTGCCAACATCATATAACAGTGTGCAGTCATTATGCTTTATCTTATTTGAAAAATAGAAAATGCGCAATTGAGAATAAGTAGGTGTAATTCATAACCCAGTGACAGCATCTTGTTTGTTTCTTAAGATATGTATATGTAATGTCATCTCTGACACAAACCAACTACTTCCAGATTTTAAAATATTTAAAATATATATCTTTTTTGGGAAATTACTGCCACCTACAGTAATACTGTAGGTATGAGTACAAGTGGTACAGGCCACTTTTATTTTATTTATTTATTTTTATTTTTTCATTTTTGGAGTTTGACAGCAATGGTAACTATTAATTTTCATTTTATGGAAGAGAACAATGTGAACATTCTCCAAAACATCTGTGTTCTGTGAGAAAAAGAAAGTCATACGGATTTGGAACAACATGACAGTGAGTAAATAATGACAGAATTTTCATTTTTGGGAGAATTATTCATTTAAATCATATTCATGTTAACTTCATGGAACTTGTAAATATAAAATATAGTTAATGCAAAATATTTTTAAAAATATAAACTACCATTCAAACTCGTAGGATTAAGTATGTTTGTGAAAGAAGTCTTTTATGGTCAACAAGGCTGCATTTATTTATATATACTGCATTTATAAAACGGTAATATTATATTGAAATATTATTGCAATTTAAAATAACCATTTTCTATTTGATTATATTTTAAAATGTAACTTATTCCTGTGATGGAAAAGCTGAATTTTCAGCAGTCATTACTCCAGTCTTCAGTGTCACATGATCCTTCAGAAATTATTCAAATATGCTGATTTGGTGCTCAAGAAACATTTCTTATTATTATCAATGTTGAAAACAGTTGTTACATGGAAGAAGAAAAGATGCACCTCTGGAAGAGAACCAGTATTCTCAGACTCACATTTTCATAGTAAAGGCACTGGACCACCTCTTTACCATGCCTCATGAGAAATTTCTTTGCTCCGTGTTCTCCAACTGTAACTGCAGAGTCCAGTGTAGCTGTGCAGAGAGACAGAGCTGTTAGACACAGACTCAAATCAAGGGGACCGCATGTGTGTGATAGTCTCCTCACCAAACATCTCAAACAGCATTGGTACTCTGCTCTTGTACTGACTCCAGTGCTTCATGCCCTCAATAACAGCAGTAATAACATGCAGTGATGTCTCTCGAGGGGGCTTCTATCCAGGAGAGAGAGTAAATCAGAAATGTTAGCTGAACAAATAAAACAACATTTTATACTGAGAGGCAGAACATATTTGGAAAAAGGCAGTACAGGTTTGCAGTATGGCAGGAAAGTGGAATAGACTGTGCATTTTTTAATATGTTGAATGTGACCGCCACTTTAGACTTGTAAATGAAGTGACACACACCTGCTGCTGAGGGGTGGGCCGGACACTTAAGGTGTCCATCTTTTCTTTTGCCCACATTCCACTGGCTGATTGTTCAACAGGTCTGAAGTTCCACTTTCCGCTGTGACTCTGAGCTCCAGGGCCCTGAGTGCTTCCTGCTGTGGGGGTACACTGCTGGGAAGAGTACGGAAGTCTGGGGGAATTTGTCGGCCTGTTAAATGACTGTTGATTCTGGATGCTGCTGGACCATCTGGGCTGGCTGAGTGAAACAGAGCTGCTTCTTGGAAAGCCACCATTAAGCTGGGATCCAACTGCTGGCATCGAATCCTGTCTCACTGGAGGCCTCTGTTGCCCTGTCTGTGACCTGGAGGTAAAATGGTGACAAATACAAAATATTATGTCACAAATGCTTTTCAGGATAACTAAAAATGTGCATTATGCGGTAAAACGTCTAAATAAGCTGTTTTATTCAACTTAATATTATTGAGTGTAAGTTAATCAACTTGACAATGTTCTATAAGTTTAGGTTACACTTCACAATAAGGTCCCATTAGTTAACATGCATTACCTAAATTTAACTAATGATGAGCGATACATTTGTTGTATATTAATCTTTGTTAAAGTCAGTTAATAAAAATACAGTTGTTCATTGTAAGTTCATGTTAGCACTAGTCCATTAAATAATATTAACAGAACTTTTTGTATGATTTTTTTTCACATTTCTTAAATAATGTATTCAGGGCCGCAATTTAAGACCGCACTGGGCCCCGGGGCTATGACTTACTGCAGGGCCCCCATCACGATAATTATATATATATATATATATATATAGATCGGCGCTCCAGTCAATCTACTCCACAGCCAATCACGGGCCCCCTCTTTGCTCGGGCCCCGGGGCTTCAGCCCCGCCTAGCCCAATGGTTAAAACGGCCCTGAATGTATTAGAATATGTTGACATGTCCATGAGCTAAGAGATTAATAAATGATTTACAAGTATTTTTTTCATTGTTAGTTCATGTTAACTAATGTAGTTAAAGGAATAGTTCACCCCCCCAAAAAAAAGTCTGAAATTGCACTCACCCTCAGGCTATCCAAGATGTAGATGAGTTTGTTTCTTCATCGGAACAGAATTAGAGAAATTTAGCATTACATCACTTGCTCACCAATGTATACTCTGCAGTGAATGGATGACGTCAGAATGAGTGTTCAAAATTGATGATGGATTTGTTTCTTACAAAAACAGCTTTTTGCTTCACAAGGTGTTAATTGATGGACTAGAGTCGTGTGGATTACTTGTGGATTATTGTGATGTTTTTATCAGCTGTTTTGTCTCTCATTTTGACGGCACCCATTCATTTGCAGATAATCCATTAGTGAGCAAGTGACGTAATGCTAAATTTCTCCAAATTTTGGATGGCCTGAGGATGAGTAAATTTCCATTTTTTGATGAACTATTCCTTTAAAGTGTTACCTAAGATTACTTAAATACTATAATAAGTGATTCTTAAAGCTCAGGTAAGGAAGAAATAGCTCCTTTTTTTTTTTTTACAAGGTACCAATCTTAATTTGATATTTTTGACTATATGCTTGCTTTACGGTTTTAAATCTTTGCTCTAAAATACAATCCTGCATTTATGAAGAAATAGAGCACAGATTCGGACACAGCAGCTTCAAGACCTTTCTGGGTATATAGTCATTATTTCTTAGCATCAGTTGAGTACCAGACATAGGCAGGTTTTTTTGGGTGAGGTAAAGGTGCATATCCTCGTCCCACCACACCAGGTGAAGGAGCAGATCTCATGCTGGCTTGCTGTGATGAAAGATAGGTTCGCTGGTTCCACTGACCACTCTGACCTAAAGCTAAAGAGAATCCTAGGGTTATATTTGAAAATAAAACATAATTGATGAAAGACAGAAAATGACATTATCAGCTTTGCCTGCATACAGACTGTAATTAGCTTTAGAGTTCATACCTTCCCTGAAAAATAATTTCAGTGTATTGCAGTGTAACGTAATGATGATCAACTGGAAAGTGAATATCTGCCATCTGAACAA